TCCTAACGTCAGCGGATCTCTGGTGATTGACACTAGTTCAACCAATAGGAAGACGAATTTGAGGAATAGCTATGATTGACAGCTCAGTCCACCACTCATGTGCTTTTCTTTTTCCTCAGCCACTGTAGGGTAGCGGGCAGGTGATGCTGCGGTGTTGATTGGTGTGACTGTTCAGACAATCTATCTTGTCCGATTTATCTTCTAATGATGGACGCTATTAACTTTATCATTACTACTATAATTTTTCCACAGATAGTATACAACGAACAAAATCATAGGTTTGTAAATTAATAATTTATTTTATCTAATGAAATGTAGTACATTTCAGGTCTAAAGACTCACTAACTGCTTGTTAAATGATTAGATAGTTTACAAGATTCTACAGGTAAACAGAGTCTTATATAAATATGTAAATGCAAAAATATTTCACCATTTTATTTACAAACAATTTTATCAGCGTTAACCACAAAAAAATATGGCGGAGTTTAAATATGATGACAAGTTTTACAAGTAATTTATTATAATACTGAAATAACATGTACAGTAATTTATTGTACCCAGAATATATTCAAGTATAATAATGACCCACTAACCTCTTGTTAAATTACTATTTAGTTTACAAGATTCGATAGGTGATAGGTATCTAATATAAACATGTAAATGCAAATAAATATTTCACATTTTTAATTACAAGCTATTTTATTAGCGTGAACAATTTAGTGGAAAATTAACACAAAAAATGTAAACAAATTTAAATATGGTGACAAGTTTTACAAGTAATTTACTGTTATATTAAAATAGCATGTAATGTATACTACCCAGCATTTAAAGCATAATATTCAAGTATAATAATGACCCATTAACATCTTGTTAAATTACTAGTTAGTTTACAAAATTGTACAGATAGTTAGATCATTAGTAAAACGTATCTAATATAAACATGTAAATACAATTTTTTACAAGATTCTATAGATGATAGGTATCTAATATAAACATGTAAATACAAATAAATATTTTGCATTTTTTATTACAAGCTATTTTATTAGCGTGAACAATTTAGTGGAAAATTTGCATGAAAAAATGTCGATGAATTTAAATATGGTGACAAGTTTTACAAGTTATTTATTATTATAATAAAATAGCATGGAATGTATACTACCCAGCATATATAAGCATAATATTTAAGTATAATAATGACCCAATCACTTCTTGTTAAATTACTAGAGTTTAGAAAATTTTACAGATAGTTAGATCATTAGTAAAACGTATGCAATATAAACATGTAAATAAATTTTTTTTTTGTTGTTATTTTATTTACAAACTATTTTATCAGCATTAACAAGTGGAACATTTGAACCAAAAATGTAGATGAATCTAAATATGGTCTCAAGTTTGATTCCCAGTGATGGGTTGCAGCTGGAAGGGCATTCGCTGCATTAAACGTGCTGGATAAGTTGGCGGTTCATTCCGCTGTGGCGACCCCAGATTAATAAAGGTACTAAGCCGAAAAGAAAATGAAAGAATAAATATCTGTTTAATAAATCTAATTTGTTAAAATGCACCCAAAATGTTACCTATATTTTCTGAGATATTGATAAAATGTTAATTTTTTTAATTGAGTGTACTCATTTATGCTGAACACTCCAATTCCCAATTATTTTAATGTCTTTTTTTGTTGCCTACTTAGTTTATGTAGTGTTTATTGTACTTTTATTGTATAAAACTGACTCTGATTTTAATGCTTTCACCATGAATACAAGCATACATTTATATACAATATATATATTTTAATCAGATTATATTTACTTATTTATTCAAATTATAATATATATTATAATAATATAATTTTATAATTAGATTATAATTATAATTTTATATTTATATATTTTCAAATCAATTTATTTCGCACTTTTTATCACAATTAAACCAAAAATCTGAATGCATGTAGTGACATCGTGTGGACATTTATGAGTATGAATATTGGCGACAGTTGCTTGAACCGCCCACCACGTCGACGCGCTCTTTTTGTTACCCAACCACACGCACGTACTGCTTCACAGCCATGATTGGCGTCATACACATCCAATGGATGAGCTCGGTTTTTATATCCGGGAAGCGCTGTAAACTTAAGGCCTAAGCACACGATTCTCCAGTGCCGACGTTCAGTACCAACATTAAAAGGTAAATTTTGCTTTATTTTATACAACTCTTAACTGTAATTTCTTAATTATGCCATAATGAATGTCACACACTTTTTGATTGTACCTTATATTAGAGGCCTTTTAGTTATACATGTAGTAATATAGAAGAACAGTTGAGATGGACACCTCGCGTTTGTCTACGTTCACCGCTCAGCCTGTGAGCCTCAAAGCCCAAACACGAGACAGAAACCGACAATCGCCAAATAGCTTCGTATTTCACGACTTCGGGTGTTTTAAAATACGTCGTGGTCTTAGATGGTACATACACATTTTGAGAAAAGGCCAATTGCGCCATTTATTGAATCCACAGGGATGAGTTGTATGAGAAAGCGAATGGCGCCTCTATTGTCTGCACGCTGAGCGGCGCTCGGTCATCGGGTTAACGTTGGTTTTTATTTAGCAGATTTGGACTTTCTCTTTAATTTAATTTCAGAAAAGTGTTAATTTTAAATTCTGAACAGGGTAATCATATTAACGTTTGCAACCAATGACTGCTATCGATCAAAGTACAGCGTCTCTCACAGTCAATTAAATGGTGCCAATGTTTTGAAGTCATGCCTAAATGCGATTTTAGACCCACATTTTTAAGTAATTATTATTGTAGTAATTCACATAGAGAGCGTTAAAATGAACGAATGTGCGAATATAAATGCAACTTTACCCCAGTCAGTCAATCGGCTAAATTGGAGCAGAATTTGCAACATATCGTAACTTTTATTATGGCATTGGAGGTGTTTGCCCTTCAAAAATTCATCTTTATCATCACATAGTTATGATTTATCAGTAATAACGACGTGTGCTCTAATTTAAAGTGTATTTTGTTGGGTTTAATAATGCTGCATAATACCTGTTGATGTAGTTTATGTTGTTTCAGAACTGAAAGCAGAGTATTTGTTCAGTGGGGGGTTGTTTTTGCGCTCATTTATGAACTGTTTTTTTCTACCGGTCTTAAAGCAAGAGTGGTTACAAAATATAAGTCTTTAAGGCTCTAATTCATTAAGCTGTGGATTTAATATTGCATTGGAAAAAGATACAAAGATACAGGTCAAACTGGGTTGAGATGCAAAAAGAAGTCTTGTTTACTGAGAAATTGATCAGATGTGTGTTTGTCCTAAACACAAGCTCTAATATGTCAGTAAGGTATAAAACTTAATTTCATAGATTTTTTTTCCCTTACCATAGTGTCAGATTTTTTTCTTGCTTTAATTGTACTCATTTGATGATAATCTATGTCACCGAAAACTCCACTTGTGTCATATTGGTTTTCATTGATATGTATCCTGCTGATTTAAAGGGATATTTCATCCAGAAATGAAATCCTGTCATTATTTACTCGTGCCTTACTAGTTTCAAAACCATATGAGTTTTTTTCATTTGTTGAAAATGAGAAAATAGCAAAATATTAAAAACCTGTAACCATTGACTTCCATAGTATTCATTGTTTCCACTGCATGTTAGTGGTTATAGATTTTCTAATTTAAAATATCTTATTGTGTGTATTTTGTAACCAATCGAGGGTGAGTAAATTACATTTTTGGGTGAGCTATCCCTTAAGGACTGTTTAGACCTTTGCTCTAGCAAACAAATTCTGATGAAGAACATCTCTTTTGTCCAATGTGATCACAAGGTGCTGCAAGAGCTTTAATGTAGTGTTCTATCTATTTTGTTGTAAGCCTTAATTGTGACTAACAACAACTAAGCTGTATGTTGAATCTTTGGAGTGTTGCAGATTCAACTCTGTGTCTGCCCCCTTTAACTTACTATTTAGACATAACAATGATGTTGGATGTCATTTGTTATTCCTTTAAGTCTTAAATTTACCATCATAAATTCTGCAGAAATGCATGTATTCTTAATTGATATTCCTGTCTTAACGCTGTCATTTATTTTTTGAAGTTACCATGGCCGAGAACGATGTTGAAAATGAGCTGTTGGACTATGAGGAAGATGAGGAGCCACAGCCCACTGTAGACAGCGGAGCCACCACTGGCAAGAAGGAGGTTAAAGGGTCTTACGTGTCCATCCACAGCTCCGGATTCCGAGATTTCCTCCTGAAACCAGAGTTGCTCCGCGCTATCGTTGACTGTGGCTTTGAACATCCTTCTGAGGGTAAGAATATATATTTCGTTTCGTTGTTTTTGTAGTTTAAGCTAGAAAATATGTTCTTTCAGTTTTACACAGATATATTGTAGTATAGAGCTGGACATAAATTAATCACATCCTAAATAAAAGTTTTGTAAGTGTACTGTCGCTGTGTATATACATACATGCATGCATATATTTGACAATGTTTGTTAATATTAAAATATAAATTCTACATGTATGTGATACAATATAAATGTAAATATTTTGGTAACAAATTATTTTGAATAATTATACAACCCCAAGTCGAAACAAACTTTTCTTTTGGGGTGTGATTAATCTTTCCCAGCACTAATGTTTTGAGATTGATATATTTACATGTATTAAGCCACTACATGATATGGGCATTATATGCCTCTTAAGACTAGAAGTAAACGCACTTCAAATATTTGGGCTAATATTTGAAGTTTGCATATGGTAGTAACTTGGTATACTAACAATCAGTAATCAAAAAATGTTAAATCTCTCTTAAATTAATACATCTCATCATTTAACATATAGTTAATAGTTTTGTGGCAGAGGCGGATTATCTGCAAAATATATACAGCTGATGTAAGGAGGAAAGTGAGTAAAGTGTTCAAGGTTTATTAAAAACTCTGTTACTCTGCATGGAATAGGGCATCACTTCCAGCATGGACTGCATTATCAGATCCTAGA